ACGTTAGACCATCTGTTAAGTAGTCGTTGATTTAAGTAAATGGGTTGTTTCATCCTAATCGATCTTATCGATTTCGTTAACCACAATCGGTAGGCAGTTACTTGCCTTAGTTCTGATAATCAAAATTTTCCTTTAATTTCAATTTAGTTATGTATCTATGCTACAGAATATCCACAAAATACCTACCTAGTAAGAATTGGTTAAAAATTATAAACCATGAAAATATTTCATTATAAAGTACTATTCGCTTTGATGACATTTTTCTGAAATTTTGACCCATTTCTCGCAGTGGCACAGGTCCTAAGAAGGTTAGCAATCAATGTGGCCCAGTTTAAACATCCGGTACGAGCGAATGAGAACGGAAATTCGTCGATTTTACTTCAACAGCCTTTTAAAATTTGATGTGCGCGCCGAAATTTTAACTCTCAAAAAGAATTGTTTATTTTTGAACGCAAACAAACATCTCCTTCGATCTTGAAAAACAAAGAGAAGTGCCTTAAGATATAAAACGTTTGCAACCTGTAAATACTTGAATAAATGTAGGCGTATATGACGTAATCATCCCAAAATTATTTACCTTAAAAATATAAATCTTATATTTCTATACGAAAAACAAGATAACGTTTATGAACAGTATTGTCTAATCTCTTCCCTTATTTACTGCAGTTTCCGCTTCTAAAATGCATCTTACTAGCCCTTTATTCTTAGCTTTAGCATTCATCGCAACCCCTGCCCACCCATTCCCACTATTCCTAAAAGAAAACTACCCTGCGGAATAGTCTGGTGAGACTGCTAGCCTACCATCAGTAGCTGATGAGAATGAAGCACCCAAAAGGTTTTTGATCATATCTCTTCTTTTCTCTATTGACTTCTACAGCACCCGCTGGTTCTACTACTACTTCTATTTTTTTCGTCTCTTTATAAGGTTTCTATTAACTCCAACCCTACTTTCACAATTAAAATTTTAGTTTTAATTATTACTATATACCGTATATCCAATAAAAGAAGATAATTACGTCAAAAATCTACAATAATAATCCTATGTATGTATGGAAAGTATTACAGTAGAATCAAACATTAAAGTCAGATCTTGTTGGTTGTTGGCAAAAGCAGAATGTACTTGAACAATAGAAAAGTGTAGCGCACTTTTATTATCCGAAAAAACGGGAACAGAATTAGTTATGTAATAAAAGAATGAGAAGAAGGGCACAATGTTCGAGCTGGTGTGGAGTAATGTTACGTATGTGTATGAATGAATGGAATACACATGAAAATTCCAGAAAAGGCAGCCGTTGTTGACGTTAAGCGCAATGCGGATCTTACAGCTCCAGGCTGCAATAAACTGATTTTAGAGAGAAAGAAATAAAAAGAAGTCATAACGATTTCTGCAACCTTAAGCTCGACTCATTATTTTCCGGGAATGTATGTATGTATGTATTTTACTTCCTTACATCTTTTTACAATTTACTGGGCCATTTATAACCTGCATAGAACAAAACAACGCTAATTCCTAACTGTAAGTACAAACAATCGTAAAAGTATTATTGGGGCTCTAAAATTCACATTTGACAATCATTGGACCGCATATTTTACTTTGTTTAACTCAAAAGATAAATACTCCAAAAGGATCGTATCTCAGCGCTCACAAATCAAACTGATCGATCCAACCAGTTGAACTCATTGTCGGTTTTCGTTTAAAGTAAATCTAAGTATCTGCATTCTATGTATCATGCCTAACAGTTTCTGCTATTACTGTTATAAAAATGAACTGAAATTTTAACTGTAAGTGCATGTTTTATAGAAAATACAGACTCCACCAATGAGCTAGACCAGCTTGCAACTGGCTAAACTAAATTATCAAACCAGACTCCAGTTGAAAACGTTGCCGCTTTTCTTTTAAAATAAAGTTTAACCATTAGTGTATACTTTACAGAAGATATAGAAGAATCCAGGGTACGAAACTTGGAAACTTTGGTATTACAGGCGAATGATGAGGATACCATGGATAGAGAAAGTTAAAAATGAAGAGGTATTAGAAATAATAAGAGAGCAGAGGACTTTTTGCAAGTCAATAAGAAATAGGCGAGATAAGTTGGTAGGACAGGAACAGGAATTAAGAGGAGTAGATGTAGACCTAGATTAGATTACTGTTCATAAATAGTTAAGGATGTTGGTTGTTGTAGTTTTCGGGAAATGAGAAGATTAGTTTAGGAATGGAAAGAATGGAAATGCATGTCCAAGTCCAGTCTCAGAACTGACGAACTTATGATGATGATAGAAGAATCTAAATTGGTTTGCCACAGGTAAAATTATTCCACGAAGAGTCCTTGGTGAACATTCACAAAACCACTGGGATGTAGCAATAATTCCAGTTGAAAACGCTTTCCCTTTATGCATAAGATATACCATACGTTTTTCTTTCTGTGTTATACATTAAGTACAATGTTGTAGTAAAACTGCAAGAATGAAAATAATTTGATTGCTTCTTGTATCAGAAATGGAACGGTCGTTGAAGTCGGTTACGCGTCCATCTCATTGCAAATCCTTTCGTTCAAATGCCAGAACAAAAGCAGTTTTTCTGATACACCACCGAACTTATCTACATGAAATAACGGTAAATGGGGAATAAAAACCAGAATCGTTTATGGAAATAAAGGGGAGACAAAGGCGAATAGCGGTTTGTATGCGGTCTGGTTTACGAATGCGAATGATAATTCTGAACGATTTGCAGTGGCTCAACGACGAACCAACGAAATTACAATGCGCCATATCTGCCATCGTTACCTTTTCTTATATCTCCGTGCAATACCGTCAACTTGCACATGTGGAAATTCTAAAGAACTAATATATTTTCGAAGATACCGCTAAATGTCCAAATAAATAACGCATAGCTTACTTTTCAGATGACTTCCCAAAACACATATAACGCTTAAGGTTCACCATTCACTCATTTTTAGTACCCACTACTAAATATAACACTAATAAAACCCAAAATTCCCCATAAAAACGTTTAAAGAACACAAAACTCAATTCAATACACCAGGTAGACAAGTAATATACTTATTTTGGGTAGATAGTAATTCAACCACAAAATGGTAAAATATGTTAACTGATGTTGTCCTTATTCGGGTCTACAGGCCGTCCATATCCATCATCGGGGATAGAAAGACCTCTGAAGAAGCCCGCCAATCGTGCTTGCGAAACGTTAGGAAGCAACTCGAACCGACCACAGTTTTTAGAACCAAATTCGAACAGCGTCAAGTTTTACCACAAAACCATTCTATAATTCCAAGAACTGTTTATTGTTGAAACACTTTTAATGACCATCCAAATGCAAACTTTGGATTACTTTTATATAACCGAGCCTATAGAAAACGTCGAAGTGATAGTTTAACCAATCAATAACTGAAAATCTATTTCGTGCTAATATCAAAATCGAAACCTTTTAAATTATCTACATCAAAGATGGGTCCTGTGCACAGCATTTTTTTTTTCGTTACTTTTGAAGGCATTCTGTGTGATTTGTTTCCTAGAATATATTTTGCAAACATGATTTTAGGTTTTCAGAAACGTCATTCCGGAGGGAAAAAGGGATCCTGCATTAATTTAATGGATACGGTCCTTTATGTTTTATACCTGCCGGAACACCTCTTTCAATTTTTTTTTCTCGTGCTCTGGCTGGCGTCTTCAAATTATTCCCGTTTCATATTATTATCTTTCGCTACACTTTAACAACAGGTGCGAAATACGGTTCAGGAGCTGACATAAATCGTGCGAAACGCTGCTTCCTAAAAATAAATAACCGAAACCTACCATTTATCATTCTTTTGCGTAATAAAAACTTTTCACACTTCGCGATCTTCGAAATTCCATCTCGCGAATTTCTAGACGATCAACCTTTTTGTGATAGCAACCTTCACCCTTTCAATATTTTTCTTTGAAAGTCACATTTATATATTTCTCTAGAAAACGTATTTCTTTGTATACGATATAGTTTCGGTCGATTACCTGGTGCTGCGCTCCGTGACAGTTACTCAAAAAGTCATTCATAATTTTTAAAATATCAGTCGAAAACGTACATAGTTAAGGGCAAATTGACTTACGATTACTGAAATCAATACCTAGCTAATGCCCAAGAAAAGCTCTAGAAAATTAGGACAAATCCAGATATGTTTATGTTTAAGTTGAAACATTTGAGAATTATCAAATAACAACTAAGTCCCATTTCATCCCTTATGGCCAGATTTTCTAAAAGCGCTCATATATTCGTAATAGTTTGTTTCTAATTAACGATAAGAATCAAATTTCCGTATCAATAGTCATTCTACACAAGATTGCACTCTACTTTTTTACATTTTAAGGGTGGAATTTAGAAATTACCTACCTAGAGGAATCTGGAATTTTAGGTTACGGTGTTTTATTTAATGCATTTATTGTGCTAGGATATCTTCGAAGTTTCCTTTCAGCTCTTTGTCTTCGTAAAGCATCTGCCATGGAACCTTCTATCCGACTTCCTTTGGGAAAACCCGCAAGAATTTAGAATTTAATTTAACTTATTTTGTTGAAAGAAAAGCCTCGTACAAAAGGGTTAGAGGGAACCCTGCTATTTAAAGAGAGACTGATAATTGTAACAAGTCGTAACTAACGTACGCTCTACCTTATTTCCCTTTGATTATGAGAATTTTATAATTTATAGTATAATTAATTTTATAAATAATTATTAGGAACGTAGGTACAAGTTGATGCCAATTTATAGTAATCTTATTGTTCAAATACCTGCTTAATTAAATTATTCGATAGCTAATAAATACTAATCAAATTCCTATGAATGAAATGGATGAAGTGAAATCAAAAACTTAACATAAAGATAGATATAAGCTGTATATTATTCTATTAAAATAAAATGGCTTTTCGTGAAGACCAATTTTGCAACGTACTAAGTCGATGAAAGAACGGATGCTAAATAACTGGCTTAAAACTTTTAAAACTTGTACACTTACATTATAATCGCAAGAATCCATCCTAGATGTCAAACATGGACAGTGGATCAAGAACAGAGTGATAAACAATATCTGCAATAGAAAACATAATGATAACAAACCTCCATACACCAATAAGTATGTACATATATTACATGTATTCAAAGAATCTTTAAATGCATCCAACAATGTCACTGCACAACTCAAGGCCGAAGCTCATGTCATTCTAAATGACCTCTACGTCACAATTTTACCAATGTTTAGCTCTATTGGATGTACTACCATCCTAAATAAAAATTTATGGTATCCGGTTACTACGTAACATAAAGACCTATTTGCTCCGTTTAATGTGTATTAAAGTTCGATTTTGACCGCTTCCTTTTCTAGAAGTATGACCTGCATTTAAGGGCACTTAAAGGAGCTCTATTCGCGACTTATTTATCTTTTATTAAAGTTGGCTTTCCACATTTACTCGTAACTTGTGACGAAAGCAACAAGCCCATGCTTACAGAGGCAGTTTTGAATATCGCTTACTTGAAGAAAGGTTCTAGAGTGCTGACGCGGTACGTCCTTTTCATGAAATTCGATTATTGTCAAAGGTACAGGCAAAGGGGAATATCCCCAATAAATACAGTTACGTGGTGTAGTCCCGGAAGATGATGCAATTTCATTCCTTTATAGTATCAACTACGTAAAATGGCAGAGCTTTCTCGCTTTTCTTTTGAAGAGAAATCCCTATCGAATTCTGTTCCTCGTGCTTTATTCAAAATTAAAAATAAAGCCGATCAAGGCAACTTTGCTTTTGAAAAACCCTTCAATAAGTAATGCAACACCCTTTTAAATTCTTTGACCTTCCTTGCTTTAAAAAACAAAAATGCAATACTTTTGACGCCTTTTATTCACCAAGGACATTCGAACGAATCATTTTTCTCTACATTTCCGATTGTTAACCATTCAAATGATATAGTTCATTTTACTTTTGTTATTCTCCGAAAAACAGTCTTCAAGAAGATCTCAAACTGTCAATGATTATTTGCGAGAAATGAAAAATAAGCGGGATAAAACGATTCCGGGATAAATTTTGTTCTTATGTGAGCCAAGACGGTTTCGGTACAAGTACATCCGTCTTTCAAGTTGGAAAATTCGATTTAGTTGAGGTATTTGGATGCCTTCTTATCCCATGAATTTTTCATATTATTCGAAAAGCCACTCTACTACATCACGTATTTACATACATCGCAAACTTAAATAAACGCTCATCGAAATCCTGGAACTCCTTACGACTACAGTATCCAAAAGTTAGCTTTATTTTGCAGCAAGAGCTACAATTAAATTTCAGTCAGTACCTAAAACATCTTCAATAACCTTAACAGATTTTATTTCTATCTGTCCAACAATCCTTATATAACAAAATAATTCGAAGTGGTCTGTATTCTGTCGAAACTGCCAGACGCGGATCGCGATTTCAATCTTTTTGGATCTCATCAGCGCGTCGCAGGCGGCTCCGACCTGCTGTCTTAACAGAGCGTCTTCAAAAATACCACAAATGGCGTGGTGAGCGCCATCTGTAGTACGATGCTACATTTGAGGATTACGTATGCTCCAACAAGGTCCGCCGGTATTAGTTTCAGCAAGTAGATATCCATATTTTTAAATGGACCTCGTTGGAGCATACCTAATCCTCAAATGTAGCATCGTACTACAGATGGCGCTCACCACGCCATTTGTGGTATTTTCGAATCCTTATATACTCTTCCTATCCATGGATATACAGGGTGGTCAATGTGGAATTAGGAAAAAAGTGTATTGGGCTTCAATTCTAATTTTGTTGCCGGACCCCTTGTAGATATGGGCGAGTAATCGAAAGATTTTGACGAAATTCACAGGTTAAATACGCTTGAGGCGAAGAATACGATTTGAAATGATTCTATCTTTGGTAAAAATCGTTTCCATGTATTTCCAATAGGAAACCTAGAACCTGTAACACAGTTCTCTGATGTTACCTATTATTCCATGCATCCATGATGCATGGATAATCCGAGTAGAGTCCAGTCAACGCGATATTCCATGAAATAGATAATAGTTAGGTACTGTAGCAAATGCTTCAAGCCATCAAGCGTTAATGTAACATGTTCGAACAATTTGGGTGTGCAGTGCACAACGTGTGCACTTAGGTATACAAGATGAGGACGAAGACGCTCATTAAACATCGATCTACGACGATGTTGGTTTCGGAGGCGACCACTTTAACTTCCGCATCCGCTCTGCAGCGTCAAGAAAAGCCACTTTGTGTATGCGTTCTCGCCACAAATTATAATGCCTCAAGCCATCGGGCTGGCGCAACCTCAAAGTCGACGGCTTTCGCGACTATTATAAACCATCGCCGCTACTTAAGACGTACGTAGTTTAAATGGCTACTGCACCAGAAAACCTAATGCAACGACGGAGGAGGGCTTTTACAAACCATTAGGAAAAGTGGGAACTTCTCGTTATAACGATCGCACGTCATGTTTCGCTATCATAACGCGATGTTAAGGGTAATTTTCATGTCGAATACTTTGTCTTCAATGTTTAACACGTTCGCATTTTCATTAGATCGCATTACATTGTATGTAGCCAATCTTCGCTAAAACCTCGCCTACTTATTCCAAAACGCAAAAGCTTGAACTTTGTAACTTTATTACAACTCAGCCTTTGAAAAGCATTCATAAACTATCAACCATTGGAAAACTGTTGTGAACCTATGAGTTTAATAATGTCGTCGAAGTACATAGCACTTCACCCTTAACCTTTTGAAGAATCATTTTCTTCTGCTTAGTTTCCCCTTACAACATCATCATGGGTGGAAAAAAGTGCCATCATGTCAGTAAAATATGACGGAGAAATATATTAGCATTCCAAGACGTTATAGCAGCATTTTTCATTGCTATTTTGTTTTGCTCTACCACATGTTAACATAATAATGTCGAATAGAAGATCAGATGTTATGGAGATTTGGTGTTTTAAAGAAAACCGAAAAAGAGAAAGTTAAACTTGCGAAACTAACGTAAGTAGGTAGTAGTAAGGTGTCGATATTTACTTTACACAATATCATTCAAAATCAAACATTGTCATCAAAATTTCTCTGTACGTTGTTAATTGAAGCCCAGAAACGGCTTCAGATTGCAACATCCTATTGCATTTAGGTAACTCCTTTCAAAGCTTGTTGCTTGCTACAGAAACACCCTGTGTATTTGTCAAAGTTTTATTAAAAAAGGTACCGCTCTCAAACTCTGACTTGCTTCGTCATTTTTCCTTTGCGATCCCTACGTCTTTAGAAGCAGTTGTCGTAGCAGCTGGCGATTCTCTCGGATATCGCATTGCACTCCACTCAGGAGGGTCACGCAGATTCAAAGTGACGGATTCTTTTCATCGTATACTTGAGACGAAAAGAAGCAGCTCAAATCTCCGCGAGACATTTTTGTTCGCTGTGACCCCATCTTCTTCCTGATCCCATCCACCTTCATCCCTAGACGAAGTTGTCGGATCGGCATTCTTCAGCGAATGATTGATATAGTCCCTGCCGCTTGATTATTTGCTACGAATAATTCGATCTTGAAGTTTGACAGACTATCATCCATCAGAAATTCGTGGAAAGACATGAGCGCGTGTTCTAATTATATCTGTATATAGAATCAGCTTTTTCGACAAAAAAAAATTAAAACGGATAAAGACGTGGTGAAATAATGACGCAATAAAAAGACCTTCAAAGATAATTGTCTTCCTATGTACATTGAAACTGAGTTATGATGACTCCACCTATAACAATCCATTTGTTATGTAAAAACTGTTCTCTTTGATGTAAAAACCTGATAATCCCCACTTTATAACTTCCGCTTTGATTTCCATCGTTATCAACGAACTTCAATGTACTTTTCAAGTTTATAAAAGCGAAAACTTTGGCTTGTGGTCTGACGAATGCAGGAAAATTATTTGAGTAAAAAGGAACTTGCAATTGCAGCGGATGTGCTTCAATTAAAACTTGACGATTCTGTTAACTTCCTCTTCAGAATAGGTTCGGGATAATTTCCTTTGCTCAACTCGTTTCTTACCAGCACAAATAAAGAAAAAGGAGGAACAAAAATCGGAACAAAACGCCATATAACTGGCGGAATCGCTGGAAATACAATTCTCGTATATTTCCCTCTTCGGTCTTTAATTAATTAACAATGTTGGGGTCCTTTATTTAACATTATAAAGAAGGCCTGGTCTTGTGCTTTCACTGCTAGCTGTTCCCTTTATCTCGTTTAAGTCCTTCGTTAATCCCTTTGAAGGTTTAATTATCACGTTTCTATAAAATTTAGAATGGTCCAAGATTTCTAACTAATATCTTCAACATTGTTCTCAATTTTATTCATAATTTATTTACAAACAGTTTCTGTGACAAATAGAAATAACTTCTGATAATATGAGCATTATATGCTATTAAGTCCACAGGGAAAACGTTTCAAGGATAGATAACCAGAGTGAATTTTCTTTTTTACTTTATTTATTCCTTTGATACAATCTCCATTTTCTACTTTAAAAAGATTTTTGTATAACACAAAGACCTTTCAAATAGATGGGTAGGTGGCAGTTCTAAATTTGGCTTAGGACCTGAAAATTTTCCGGTCTATTTTTTTGATATAAAAGAGGCAATTTATATTTTAAAAACTCGAGCAATTTATGCGACGGCGGTTCCTTCCCAATGCACTTGGAAATGCCCGTTCGTCCCGTGGGACTCTTCATCAAAAGACCATTTCCTTTTAATGACGCGTAAAGGTTTTCTGATAAGCCCCCAGTATAATACTGCCGAAAAAGAAAACAACAAAGGGAAGAATCGAATTTACTTCGCTGATGCTTTTATCGAACAAACGCTAAACTCTTTTATTATTTATGAACCATTAACCAGAATTAACCTTTATCGATTGTTTCTACCAAAAAAAAAGCTGCATTTCGAATCACTCACTCTTCATAATATCTATATCTTTATCGGCGTATATTCGTTGATTATAATCTATGTTCTGGAAACATCCAGAAAGAAAATAATCAACTAAATTATTTCATATAGATAT